GTCGCCGCCGCCTGCCTTTCCCTTCCCGGCTGGGGCCGTTGGGAGTCCCCGCCACCTGCCTTTCCCTTCCCGGCTGGGGCCGTTGGGAGTCCCCGCCACCTGCCTTTCCCTTCCCGGCTGGGGCCGTTGGGAGTCCCCGCCGCCTGCCTTTCCCTTCCCGGCTGGGGCCGTTGGGAGTCGCCGCCGCCGGAGCGGCCCCAGTCCCGCGTTGCCTCGGGAAGGGAAAGGCCACGGCTTGGAAGGCCACCGCTGGAGCGAAGCTGCGCGCAGCCGCTGTGCTAGCATCGGATCGGGCGCGCCGGACGGTTCCGACCGAGCCCCGAGCGTCGTCTTTGGCACCCGCCCAGCACCGCGGAGCTCCCTGTACCGGGAGAAGGGAAAGACGGATGTCAGCGGAGCAGCCGCTGCTACGGGAACAGTTTACTGCCATCGCCCTCAAAAGGGGGTCAACCGGACAGGGAATCCGAGGGCAGCGCTCGTTGCGTGCCGGAGGCGACAAGCCCCACTCGGGTGGACGTGTTTGCCCAGAGACCCCGGACGAAGCAGCGGCAAAGCTCCGCTGACATCCGCGGGCAGGCAGGCGAACGCGGGACCTTCTCCTCCAAGGGCGCCCGGCGCCTTTCTACCCACCCCCGGCCCGTCTCTTTCAAGCGGCGGCGACTGCGGGACGGGGGTCGTCCTGCGGGGACACCGGTGGGCGCGGAAAGAGGGGCGGGCGGGAGAAGCTCCTCTCCCTGCCCCGCCCCGGGGGGGGTCTTTCCCTTCTCCCGGTACAGGGAGCTCCGCAGTGCTGGGCGGGCGCCAAAGACGACGCTCGGGGCTCGGTCGGAACCGTCCGGTGCGCCCAATCCGATGCTAGCACAGCGGCTGCGCGCAGCTTCGCTCCAGCGGTGGCCTTCCAAGCCGTGGCCTTTCCCTTCCCGAGGCGGCGGGACTGAGGTCGCGCCGGCGGCAGCGACTCCAGACAGCCCCGGCCGGGAAGGGAAAGGCAAAAAGCGCTTTGCCTTTCCCTTCCCGAGGCGGCGGGACTGAGGTCGCTCCGGCGGCAGCGACTCCACACCATTTTTTTTTCAGAGGGGAATCTGACTCGAGTATAAGTCGAGGGGGATTTTTTCAGCACAAAAAATGGGCTGAAAAACTCGACTTATACTCGAGTATATACGGTAATTCACTGACAATCTACTCTTTGCTTTTACTTTGGGGATACAGAACAGCATATTACATTTTCAAGTTTTTCTGCAATCATAAGTTGTTGTTTTTAAACTGAAGTCTCTCCACGCACTCATATTTAGGGAAAAATGGAAATCGAGTATTTCAATAAATAAAATAATAAATGATTAAAATAAAATGAGCTCAAAACCTGAAACTAACAAGGAATTTGGGTTTTATCTACCTTGCTACAAGCTGCTCAACTAGCATAATTAGGCTTAGGCAGAATTTAACTGCCTGCATACATCTATCTTAGAGAACTACAATGTCTCTAAGCCAATCAAATGCAAATGTAAATTTATATACATATAGAGAGGGTCAAAGGGTCAAAAGTGGTTCATGAACATACATTCATATCACATTTCTACGGATTTAAAAACACAATTCAACAAAACCATATTTTATGGATAGCGTATAACTTGTATACTTAGGAAGAATTTGGATTCAACTAATTGTTGGAGATGGGGTGATTAAAAGATGTATTTCACAAAGTGCTCCCATATATATCAATGGCTTGGAAATAAAAAGGATAATAAAAGAAATGAGCATGACATTTTTTTTAAATGAAGCCAAGTTGAAATCACAAAGTTTGAAGGCCACTCATTCTCTTTCAATGGTGTAGAGAACTTTAGAATCTCTCTTTCTACATTTGCGTTAGAATTTTACCAGCAGGAATCTTGTTTGGAAACTAAACCGGACTAAGAAATTTGAACGATGCAAACTAATTTATACGCTTAATGTTCCATTTTTTCTACTGTTAAGTAATATTATTTAAATGTTAAAAAATTAATTGTACACCACGACATCAATATGTGTGTTTATTGTACTGTGTTTAAGAAATATATTTTTTCTTTCTCTTTTTCTGCATTAATGCTTTAAAAAAATACACTCCTACAGAAAAAATGTTAATGTATTATCTATTTCACAATAAAAAAACGTTTAAAATTTTTGCTGGATTATATCTGCAAAGAACAGCTGGCAAAGCAAAAAAAAAAAGCATAGGTAAGAGCTTGTGAAAGGCAAGACTGAGAAGGCCTGGAGGATAATCTATTTAAACACATTCCCAGCCCGAGGGGCTTCAAAGCATTAGTAAGCAAGCTTCCCCAAGACAAAACATGCTACTCTTTCTGTATTTTCAGCACTGCAACACTGCTACATCTCAGGTAGGAAAAACCACAGTAATTAATTCACAATTCACAGCTACAGTAGCTAAAGGCAGACAATGAAGAAGTTCTTTTACATATACCAAAGAGAATATTTGGCAAGACAAGTTGAATCAAGATGAATAGCTGAACATTTACAATGTAATCGCCCCCATCCCAAAGTATGTCATTTAGACATAAGGGAGTGCAGGAACAAGTAAACTCAGAACTTTCCAAAAGGTACCACCACTGTAATATTGTTAAAAGTACAATGTCAATCTGAAAGCAAAACAAGTACGGGTAGTTCTTTGTGTAGAACATTTTACCAACATACAAAACCACGGAAAACCTATGAATAAAAACTGAATTTTAATTTCTGCTTCAGAACAACTACTAATTTCTGCTGTAGTTATGTAATTATGGCATGAAATCTTCAGTTTCATTAACTCTATTAAAAAGTTGCCAATAAAATAGTTTTAATTTCATCTGCTGAAATTCTGAAATATCGTTTGTGCAAGTAGCATTACATGCATGCCTGATTTCTAAAGGTGTTGTTTTTGTTAAGTGAGGATTCATTTCCACTTAACACCTCCCATCACAACTTCCATCTTTATCCAGATGTATTAGACTGCAAATTTCAGAATTCTTAGTCTGACACCTGAATTTAGAACCACCTGGAAAGCATTGGACTGGGGAAGGTAGGTCCAAAGAGTGATCTCAAAATACTTGGGTCTCTCATAGAAATATGTTAGGGAGTAAGGAATATTTGAACAGGAATCAAACTGGGAAATTATTTGTAGTTGCTGCCACAGGTTGTGAGGAAGACAGTCCTTCAAAGGTAATGCAAATGGCAATACCAAAAGCATAACTCATTTATATATTGTTATAGATGCTGCCTACTGTTCAGCTCAGATTTCTTCATCTTGTCCTAGAAATCTTAAAGCAATTTACATTCTGCCAAGTTCCGAGTTCCGATTTTAAATCTTGACTAGAATTGTGGTTAATTAGAAATACAATCTTGGTTTTCTCCCCTTAAGCAAACTCAACAGCACTGACAGTTTGCTACTAGGTTCTACCTCTGAGACAACTGCACTTACATTAGAAAAGTCTTTCTTAGTTTTCCTTTAGGGAGTGAGTGGCTTTTTCTAACCCAAATATTAACATACACTGTATCTGTATTTCTGCTGCTTTCCAGCAGAGACATTTGGCAAGGATTAGGAAAGAAGGTTGGTAAAACATGGTCCAAAATACACATAATTTAAATTTTACCTGTTTTCATAAAGTGCTTTGACATCAGTAAAGGAAGGTGCTAAGCAACTAAATGCAGCTGTGGACAATCAAACACATTTTCATGCATGGCTTGATGCATCACTTGGTCTAGCCAGTCAGGATGAGTTAGGGCTAGATAGAAGGTAGTAAAGGAAAATACCATAGTGGGAAAGAAGCAGGGTCAGACACACATTTGGAACAGAAGCAGAAAAGTGGCAATTCTATGCAGTTGAAAGAAGCATTAGATAAATGATGCAAGAAATCCAAGCTGCGATGATAAAAAGTTCTGGTACCTGCACGTTGGGATGGAGCGGGAGCAGGGCTTAGAGTGATCACAATAACTGGATTGGGAAAAGGAAGAAAAAAACACGATAAATCACAACAGAAACAGTCAAATCATCAAAATGAAAATAATTCATGTTCAAATCAATTTCAGGACAAGGAATTCAAGAAATTCAGGTAGGGAGAAATCAACATAGGGGACAGAAAGATGAAAATGAGATGTATCAAACAAGTGAAGAATCTACTCTACAACTTAATCAAACACGTGCAGGATCAATTTCTCCATTGTATTTATGAGCACTGTTCCATTAAGCTCTGTGGATTTCAGCTCCCTACACAGTATAACATTCCTTTAATGGTCTTTCTTCTTTCCTTCCCAGACAGAACCTATTTATTAGAACTTCATCAACAACATGTTCTACCACTTCACAATGATATGAAAAAAATACTTAACCCCTTCTGGATTTTTGCACTTCTTTTCTTCAAAATATTACCTCGGGTTCATATGGTCCTACTGCTATATAAAGGAGGGCTGAGTGACCTACAAATAACACTAACGTTTTGTTTTTGTTTCATAAATTTCACAAGCATGAATGAAACAATGATATGCCAGCGTGAAAAAGTAATCACTCCCTTGGATACAATGAAATGCTTCTTATAATTAGTGACCACTCTCTCACATTGCTGGTTCAAAATGTTCTTCAATGATTCTCTTATAGATTTGTACGTTTGAAATCACTATCATGTTACATGTTCCACTTCAGTTTCAGCAGGTGGACAGATGGCCTATTAATCCTTTAAAATTCTCTAACACAAGACAAAATTCATGTTTTTTTCCAATGATAGAAAGCCATCCACAAAACAGCTATGGAATGAAGTATTAGTTTCTGATGGAGATAACAATATGCACTGTACATATAGCCTGCTCTTGTCATATTTTCTAACATCAATGTTCTTACTGAGAAATGGCTTTTGCCTTGCTAATCTCACGAAACCCATTTTTATTCCATGCTTTTTGGATTATGTTGCCATGAACACTGATTTAATAAAGAGCCAGCACTCTGAAGATCCCCTGATACCATTCTGAGGTACTAGGGGGATGATTCTATGCTGGGCTTTTGGAGCAGCTTGGAAGAGTCTTGTTGGAAGAATCACTATTATTCTTCAGGATCATATCTTTCTGTTTCCAGAACTTTTGTAGACTGATGAGTATCAATGACTTTTTGTATGGAGACCTTCATACATTTATTTCGAGTTGGCCCTGATATTCCTTTAGCATCTGTGTGATGAGATTTTCAGTGATGAACTAAGATTTCTTTGATTCACATGACAGAACTGCATGAAGCAATGCCAGAGGTTATTGCCTGGATAGGTGAATTGGGACATCCAGTTATGAGGCCACTTCCATACCCTCATAGAAGTTTTACTTATAATTATGTAAACAGTGTATATAGGTTTACTTCTCTTCTATCGTGTTCTCATCATATGCTAAATAATGATAAGGAAGAACTGGTGCAAGTTAACTCCGTTAACTGAAGAATTCACACAACTGGCCCTACCTAACTTTTTAACTGAATCAATTGAACTAGGGAGGGAAACACTTTTTCACATTGGCATGCTGCATGTAGGATTACCTTGTTTATGTAATAAATGAAGCAAACACCATTTTTGTGTTAAATAATTTTTGGGTTATTTACTTACTCAAACTCTCTTAAGTTAAAAGAATCAGTCAATTCTTTTAATATTTAGTGGCAAAGTTAATTACCAGGATTAGGGATTGTAGATTTCAAACTCTGACTACAATGTTTTAAAGTACTGTACCACTGTAGCATAATTTTTTAAAAAATTCCTAGATATCTAGGAAAGTTATACGTTATTGTGACAACCTAGCCTTGAGAATGATAGTTCCTGGAGAATGATAGTTCCTGATAGTTCCTGAAAGGAACTTTAAAAACAAAGGAGAAAATATTGTATCCATATACAATGTTAGAAAGGGTTTACCTGAAACTAAATAAAATTACTGCTGGCAGTTCAGGATTACATAACAGCACTAATAAACAGTCAATTAACCCCTGGATAGTGATTCTGTCAATTGAGGTTCAAAATAACTGGAAAGCCTTTATCAACACCAGACCCAAATTGCTATTATGACTGTAATTATTGTAGTGCCATGCCATAATGCTTAGTTTGAGATTATAGGGATTGTAGCCAATATCAGGAAGTCTAAAGTTGGGAGTGACTGTGTCAGGTGATCCAATTCAGATAATCCAGTTCAGTAAAAGACTAGTTTATATTCCTGTTATTTTATAGTTTTGTCAAAGTTCCTGTGTAAATAACTTTCAGGGATAATAAGACATCCTTGTAATCTAATTTCTAATTTTAAAAGTTGGTTAGCGTTTAAAGGCTTGTTTAGTAACACTTAATGAGCTGTCCATGCTTCAGTGGATAAATGTGGATGTATGTCAATGTTGATGTATGATGTATCAGTACTAGTGAAGCAAAACTTAAGTATTTTCTGTATGTAATGATTTTAAATGTTTATTATAATTCTGAATTACTTTCATCAAATCCAATGTGTTGTTAATATATATTTGTATTATCTTCTATAGAATATGATCTTCAGTGAGGGGATAATGAATATTAGAATCAAATATACTATGATCATTGTCCATATAGTAGCTGATTTTGATTGCTAAAGGTAGAGTTTGGTGGATATGGGCTACATAAAAATGTATGGACAAATAAGGTTTAGAAATGGAAGATAATTAAATCTTAGAAATTCCAAAATTTGTATTAAGTATGAATTGAAAATAAATTTTAACTGTTTTTCCTTTAGGTAAGATAACTAATTGACTTTTCTGGTATGGCTGTCTGTGAATACATTTTATGTTAGAGAAATATGTGTTTACTGTGAAATTGTTACCAGTACAAGCAATTTATTATCCGGTTCTAAAAGAAGAAGAAGTAGCATCCACATTTAGAAATACAGTGTGCAACTGACAACTAATAAGAAACAAAATTCGGAATCCAATGTTCTCTATTGAAAACTAAAGAATCAAGGGAAATTCATCAAGTAAATAATGGCTTCATTTTGCTTTTGCAGATCTAAACAAACAAGTCTGACAGAACTAAAAACATAAGAGAGAAAACTCCCGACAAACCCAGTTTATTCTATGTTATATTTCCCCACCCCCCAAAAAAACCTGTCTTTACAAAGCACTCCTGTTGCGGAGGTCCAGATTCCAAGCTCAGTACAAGAGTCATTGGGTAACTGAGTCCAATAGGCACACAAGAAATCCAGGAAAGCAGTCCAGGAGTTGAACAGGACACAGAAATATAACATCCTAACTATCTGTAATTATTAGGGAAATGAATTACTTCAGACTCAAATTGAAAATGTGCTTCAGAGCATGTGAAGTAGATGCCATATGATACAAAAAAAAAAAGATGTGCCAGGAATGCATACACAGTTCTAGTTAGTATCTTCAATATGAAATACCTCATAAATATTATTTGTCAATAAAGTCTATTCTCACTTCAAAAGATATTGGAGTAGAGCCAAAGAAACCCAGGTTCCAGACCACTTTTAATCACAGAAATTCCTTGGGTGACTTTCAGCCAATCATACTCTCATAAATAAGGTTTGTGGAGATAAATGAAATAAAATCCCTGTATAAGTCAGTGCAATATTATGGAAATAATTCACACTATAAATCTAATAAATAAACAAACAAATCTGTTTAAGATACTTCTTGCCTTATTTCATTTCAGAAAACCTAGCTGCACCTATTATTGCTTATACTCTGCAGGGCTTCTTCCAACTCTATGTTCTTAGTGAATTAACTATTACATGTTGGATGATCCACATGTAATCCTCTGCACCCAGAGACTGGGCCACTAGAATTTTGTTCAGAAACTTCACTTTTCTATGTTATTTTTTTGGTGGTGGTGGTGGTGGTGTCTCTTGTCAAAAATAAGAAATATCTGAGCTGCTGGTCTTAAATAAATAATCTAAAATGTTGTCCTTGAATCTCAGTGGCTCCATTTTCAATCATTTTGGAAATACGAACTTTGGATTTTAAAAGTAGAAATGTGAGTTGTTCACAGATGTTTCCTGCTCCTATACCCACCCGTAAGCCTCCCAACCCATGCCAATAGTTTGTCCCATCAATTTTTCTATACAGTGCATTCAGAAAGTGACTGAGTGAAAACAGAATTTTAGAAATGTCTGTAAATTTATTAAAAAGAAAAAAACTGAAATATCACATTGGCATAAGCATTCAGACCCTTCATTCAGTACTCTGTTGAAACATCACCGGCAGCAATTACAGGCTCAAGACTTTGGGGATATGAAAGCTTTACACACCTTGCACACCTTCCAAATCCTCTTAAACTCACTCAGGTTGGATGGCGACTGTCGATGGACAGCCATTTTCAGGTCCCTCCAGAGATATGTTCAATAGGGTTCAAGTCAGGGCTCTGGCTGGATCACTTTAGGACATTCACAGAGTTTACTCCTGTGTTGTCTTGGCTGTGTGCTTAGGATCATTGTCATGTTGGAAAGTGAACCTCTGGCTGAGTCTGAGATCCTGAGCATTGTAGAACAGGTTTTCACTGAGAACAGGTTTTCATTCCCTGTACTTTGTTCCATTCAGCTTTTCCTCAACCCTGACCAGTCTCCCAGCTCCCATCATCATGCTTCACTGTTGGGATAATATTGGGTAGGTGATGAGTGGTGCCTGATTTCCTCCAGACATAATGTTTAGAATTGAGGCCAAACAGTTCAAGATTGGTTCCATCGTACCAGAGAATCTTGTTCCTCACAGTCTGAGAGTCCTTCAAGTGCTTCTTTGCAAACTCCAAGAGGGCTTTCATGTGTTTTGCACTGAGGAGAGGCTTTGGTCTAGCCACTCTGCCAAAAAGCCCAGATCAATGAAAGGCTGTAGTGATGGCTGTTCTTCTAGAACTCTGTCCACACAGGATCTCTGGAGGTCAGTCAAAGTGACCACTGAAGTGACCGAAATAAATAACCCCAAAAGTGACCTCCCTTCCAATTGCTCAGTTTGACTGGGCGACCAGCTCTTGGAAGAGTCCTGGTTGTGCCAAACTTCTTCCATTTGAGAATTATGGAAGCCATTGTGCTCTTAGGAACCTTCAGTGCAGCAGAAATGTTACTGTAGCCTTGCCCAGACCTGTACCTTGCAATAATCCTGTCTCTGAGTTCTGCATGCAATTCCTTTGACCTCATGGCTTTTGCTCTGCTATAGTATGCACTGTCAGCTATGAGGCTTTCTATAGATCTTTCCAAATCATGTCCAATCAATTTACCACAGATCGACTCCAATCAAGATGTAGAAACATGTGAGCAATGATCAAGAGAAATGGGAGGCACCAGAGCAGTGGTGATATTGTACCGGTTTGGCCCGGTTCTGCCAAGCTGGTAGCAGCAATCGCTCTGCTGTTGGGCCCACCCACCTGCGCAGGCTCCCATACTCACCTTTATCCTCTGAATTTGAAGAAAAGCTGCTTTGCACAGCACAGAAGAATGTCGCATGGCAGCTGCTGAAGCAATCGGGATCGTGCAGGCTTGCAGGTGGTGAGTTAGAATGCCTCTGCACGCACGCAAAGTATATGCACGCACGCAAAGTGCGCCCACCTAGCCACGTCCACCAAACCGGTGGTAGAAATATTTGAATCCCACCACTGCACCAGAGCTAAATTTCATGTGTTATTGCAAAGGGTCTGGATCAGGGGTGGGATACGACAGGGTTAACTACCGGTTCGGGATTTATGAGGTTCGGTGATTTATGATGTGCTTCCCTGCACGCTGCAGAGTGCGCCTCGCCTGTAAATCGTCATCAGCACCCTGCCTGCAGAGAAGCAGCCTTTGAAACAGCCCTCTTTTCCTGCTTTTTTAACTGTAGCTGTGCCTCGCAGGGCAGCTGAAGTTGAAAAATCAGGAAATAAAGGGTAAGAGCCCAGGCGGGCAGGTGGGCACAAACATTAGCAGACATAGAACCGGTTCTATGTCTGCTGCTCTTCAGAGCTACCAGTTCTACAGAGGTGGACAGAACCAGTAGAAACCCACTCCTGGTCTGGATATTTATACCAATGTGATATATCCATTTTTTTTTTCTTTTTAATAAATTTACAAACATTTCTAAAATTCTGTTGTCACTTTGTCAGTACTGAGTGTAGATTAATGAGGAAAAAACATTAAATTCAACAAGTGTAGAATCAGGCTGCAGCATAACAAAACTGACAAAAGTGAAGGGGGTCTGAATACTTTCTGAATGAACTGTAATTGCCATCATTTCAATAATAACCCACAGACCTCCTGCTGATTAGGAGAACGATTTTGCAGCTCCATCCAGGGAAACAGCAGTGGGCAAGGAGGAAGATCACCTAATCTTTTAGCCTAGTAGGAGACCAAGCTATTTATAATACCATTAGCTATGTTACATCATATTACAATACAGTTACAATAAAACTCACAGTAGAGGAGGAGGCATAATTTGTTTCTCTGTTCAGATTTTGGAAATATTCCTAAGGCATTACTGAAGACACCTATCAACACACGCTATCACAAATGATAACCAAGATTGTAGAATGTCACAAGCAAACCTAAACAGGAATAAACTAAGCATTAGGTCAATTTAGATCTAAAACCGATATCCAAGAGCAAAATTCCTATTCCAATATTCCTATGGGATTTGCAGAAGGCGTGTGGGATAGACATGGATATATATTTCATGTAATTGCCATCCATACGGCAGTCACATATATAGTTAGATTTTATTTGCACATCAAACTGTACGAACATAGTATCCTTCCACACAATAGTCCAACCATCACCTTTCTCATAGGACCCACAATTAGTATGGCAAATGAAGAAAGATCTGAGATTTTAGTTTACTTACTTTGGATGAATCAGTTTCACCATTTCTGCTCTCAGGATACTCAATTCCATCTCTGTTCTCTGAATACTCAATTCTCCTATTCTCTATGAACAGATTTTAGGTGGATTCACCTCAAATGAACCTCATATCTGAAACTAGCACTGTAAAACTTAATTTACTACTGTTAAGACATTTTGGTCCATTTAAAAGTTATTAGGGATTTGCAACAAATCCATACGGGGACATCTTATAAGATCTGAAGCTTTTCAAGTCAGAAACAGTTAGAATATGATGGACATGTTTAAGTGCATCATGAGAAAAAGTAGAAAAGCAATTTACGGTCTATAGGCCTTTCTATAGACATCTGGGCTGGCTGGCTAGACACAAACACTATAGAACAGTCATGTAATTGAGTATAATTCTTCTAATATTCTGAATCAGTTCTATCATTAGCAGGTGTGTGGATACTATATTTAACAGCATTGTCCACAAAGAATTAGGCAAGGAAAGGACAATATGTCAAAAAGAAATGGAGAATGTCCAGCCATTGGAAATGACTAAAAATACAGATAAATCTGAATAGATGAAATAAGCTTTCATTTTTAACTTAGAAGAACAAGCCTTGGATATCACACTTAATCTGATTACTATCTGGATTCAAACAAAATGTTTGTCCTACTTAACAAACTCATCCATTTTCTGTGATGCAACGAATCATCCTTTCAATTCAGAATCAAACCAGCATGAAATTTTGAAAAAAAATAAATTTCAAGATTTGTGAGTATGTAGTATAAGAGCTAAGGCTTTAAACTGACTTGTTGAGAACCGAGTAGGAAACTTGTAAGCAGAATATACAAAACATCCTATATTTAGCCCGGAATTTGAATCTCACTGTTTTCAGACACACATAGGCACCAATCTTGCAGAGAGCCTCTAAATATTTTTAAGCACACAATTGAGCTTTGAAAGCATTCTCAGTCCAGTGCTTTCATTCCTCTCCACTCTACATCAAATCACCGTTCCACCTTAGTGTGATTTCAAAGTCCTTTTAAAAAAATCCATCCATGTGCACATCTCTGCCCCAACTGATGTGAACGCAGCCCATATTCGTGTTCACCAACTATAAATCAGACAACCACCAACTACCCTAATGTGCCCTGTGAATCCAGCTCGTTTATTGCAAATACGGGGTGGTGCAACACCCACTAAACAACTTGGACGTGCCCATGTTGACACCCCCTTCAGCCAAACCTTCACCTGGTAGTAAGGGTTAACACCTCTAACATGCCCTTGGAAGTTGTGGGAGCGCCATCACTTGACACTTTCAAGAAGAGATTGGACTCTCATCTGTCAAAAATGGTGTAGGGTTTCCTGCTTGGGCAGGGGGTTGGACTAAATGACCTAGAAGGTCCCTTCCAACTCTGATTATCTGTTATGTGAACACTCTGGCATGGGGCTTCAGGGACCCCCTAACCCTGGATATCTCCATCTCAGGGGCTTCCACTCATTGTACACATCTCTTTCTACCAAACTCCTCCCTCTTTTCCCCTTTTATTTTTCTTCCCTTTTCCCAGCTTCCTTCCTTCCTTCCTTCCTCAAGGCTCAGGACTTGGCTTCGGCTCCTTCCCTTCTGCCCCGTCCGCCCGTCCCTCCCGCCCTCCTTGGCGGCATCTCCCGTCATCGTACCCCTCCCCACCACCAACCCGTTCGGTTTCCGAGCGCCTTCCAAGCTGGGCCTGCCATAGCCAAGCAGGGCCCCTTCCCTTCCCTTACTAGGCCGAGCCCGGGCCGGACTGATCTCCAGGTTGAGGTCGATGCGCCGGCGGGCTTCCCGGTTCTCCTGTTTCAGCTTGGCCTCCAAGCGAGATAGCTTCTGCTCCAACGAGGACGCTGCCATCTTTCCCCCCCCCCTCCCCCGGAGCCGCCGCCGCCGCGCAGCCAGAATGCACAAACACCGCAACGCGCAGGCGCGGTGCGAACCAACCAGGCCACCGTAACTCCAACCTCCTTCTTCCTCCTCCTCCTCCGGCCCCGATTTGCCCTACGCTTGTTTTGCCTGGCAGGACGGGCTCGCGCGCATGCGCAAGGCTGAAACCGGCTTCCCTTTCCCTATACCAGTCCCGGTACCTGCTGCGGGGAGTCTTGAAGGCGCCTGGCGGGTGGTTTCCGTTGCTGATCTCGGTTAACGTTTGGTGAGACTGCCAAGCGAGAGGTTGAGCGAAGCGGCCGTCTGTCCTCGGGTTTCTTATCGCGGCCATCCAACGCTTCAAAGCTGCGTTTTAACATCCGACTAAACCCAACCGTGGCTCGTTTATCAACTTGAATGTTGTGGCTCACTTATGAACTAGTTAGTGGGGTTTGCTGTAACTATGGGGCTTGTTGTGGATGAGTGAACTGTGGTTAAATACAGATATCCAGGGACGTCTTAAAGTTAATGACAAGGAAAGGTTATTAAACACACGAGTAGAGAATAATTACAAATATATTTAAATTACATTTAAAATCAATGCATCCTATGTGCGTCATATATCACTCTAACACCTTAAGGTCCTGTTGCATATTTAAAATTTTTGCTCGTTGGATTAGCAATTTTGCCCAAGAAAATCATCTCCCAAACCTTGGTCCCTTTAGTGCTCAAAAATAACTCAGAATGGTCACTATTTCTGAGCATATAGGCAGGATGTAAAGGAAAGGATAAATCAAAGAGCTTAGTGTAACTATGCATCAATCATTCCAAATAGAAATTGAACTGATTTATGTACTCTTAATCTGCTAATGAAAAGCATCCATGAGTTCCATTATAGAGATGTAAGAGACCATTAGATATGTAATGGTCCCTGACCACAGTTGGCTTGGGTGCTACTTTCGGTGAAGTCTTCCACATGTTCTAGCCAGAGACTTCTGCAAAATAGCCCGCACTTCCTATGATCTTTTTTTACTAAAAAAAATTAGAGACGGCAGGCACAAAAAAAAAGTGTTTCAAGTGATTGATGATAGCTGGATATTTAGGAAAACATATTTGTGGAAACCATAGTATACTAAATCTGGAAGAAAATAGTTTGGAAGAAATTGTTACTCTTAAATTGGCAAGAACAATCAACACCAAAGATTCACCCTGAATACTAATGTTCATTCAACAGCCCTGGAAGTTTACTTAAGGATATCCATGTGACTTACAGAATCAATTTTGTTTTAATTTTGTTTTAACTGGATTACTAGCTGGGGAAGGTATAGTGGTAGATTCTTGCACGGCTGGAAATTGGATTAAATTAGCAATAGCACTTAGACTTATATACAGCTTTATAGTGCTTTACAGCCCTCTCTAAGCGGTTTTACAGAGTCAGCATATTGCCTCAAACAATTTGGGTCCTCATTTTACCCACCTTGGAAGGATGGAAAGCTGAGTCAACTTTGAACCTGGTGGGATTTGAACTGACAAATTGCAAGCAACAGGCAGTCAGCAGAAGTAGCGTGCAGTACTGCACTCTAACCACTACGCCACCGAGGCTCTTTTTAAAATTACCTTAATGGTTCCTGTCAAATTTTACATTCTATGATTCTACAGCATGCTATTCTGTCTCCTTTAATCCATTAACAAGAATTTGCAGGATCACTGTAGACAGGCAGCAATATAGCTGCTTAAGGGAGCTGGGTTTCCCTTTGGAGAATACCCCATACATACAGTGCAAGTGGCACCAGATAAGGAGATCCAGACACCACTTTAAATATAATGATAAGATTTGCTATGTTCTCCTGCTTGGGGAACTTCTTGATTTCCAGATTCCATTCTAGGTCTGGAAATCCTGAAGCACTTCCAATTCCTTAGATGGCTATGATGGAAAGGAATGCTCTGAGATTGCTGCTTCCTTGTGTTCTGCTCAAATACATCCAGGGAAGGTGAAGGAAAAGAAGAATCCCTCTCTTCTCTGGGTGATGAGTTTTGAGCTATTACTTCTAGGAACTGGCAACCGTCCACCTCCTCCATGTCTTACTCAGTTTGCACTAAACCTTTTGTAGCATCATCTTAGCTTCTGTAACTATCCTCCATTCTTTTCATCTTTGAACAGAGTGAATTTCATTTTTTAAAATAGCATTGCATCTGTTTTGAGTGCCTTTTCCCATTAGCCTTTTCCCTGCCATGACATCTCATTGTTGGAAGGAATATATCCATCTGATTCAGTTCCAAACTGGGAGAAAGACACTGGAAACATTGATTGGAAAGATGGTTTATTGATGAAGCAGAACCACATGTGATTCTGGGCAGCTGTCAGAATGGAGTTGAGTATGGGTGGGTTTTATACCTTCTCTGGGCTTTGTATTTGAGCTTACTCTTCCTGTGCAAGAACATGTCCTTTAATATTCTATTGGCCATTGTCGGATTCCTATGGAGTCATGTAGGGGTTGTGTAGGAGTCATAGCTAGCTCTATAGGCAAAAGAAGAAATGCAAATTCTAAGTGCTTGTTTGAGCTAATCTGGTCAACCTCTGGTTTATTGTTTATCTGAGCTCCCAGGTTTCTGTGACTTTGAAGTTTGGACTGCTCTGGGGGTGCAATGAAGGGGCTTGTGTTCTGAAAGGGTGTTGGGTAATTCCTATTGCAGCTAATGGCTTTCGTTCTGCATTGGATCTTGGGTGAGGAGATGCTTCTAATCCTATCACTCTGCTTTTGTTAGCTGTCAAACTTTGCTGCAAACAGTTTCAAAATATCCTGTCTTTAATGGATTTCTACCTGCAGTATTTGCTTTGCTTATGAATAGAGCCATCTAGATAGTTGGGTTAGTCTTTCAATGAGATCTTTATCTTTTAAGTGCTGGCATCTGCTGTGGGCTATTAAGAAATACTTGGGGCTACTTCCTGACTCTAAAAACATATTTCTCATTTCTCATTTAGGGAAATATAATATTCTGCCTTTTTTAAAATATTCCTCAAAGTATTTCAATCTTCTGGGGTGGGAGGGCTTCCCTCACCATTGAATATTGGTCTACAATATTAAAATCAACCTTTTTAAAGTCCAAGATGTATCTTGACTGTGAATTCATTTTTTGTTTCCCTTAACGTTAAGAATTCTTACAATTATGTGATTATTATTCTTGCTACTTTTACTTCCTCAACAAAGCTTTTCTTATTACTTAGGATCAGGCCAAGGAGAGCTGATCCTGTGCCTTCCTCTGCCCTGATGGAGAATATTGTCAGCAACACAAATTTCCAACTTTGGGTATATATTAATTATCTCTCAATAAACGTTGGGGTGAAACAAACACACGTACATAGAAACACATAGTTTCTAACAAACCTTTATTAGAGTCTTTTCAGCAGGTGATATTATAGCCCTTCCCAGCAAGGCACAGACAAGGAAGAATTACATAGACTTCTATAAAGTGTGTTTAATGTAAAGATTGAAGGTAACTTAGGGAATCTTGGAAATGGCAGCAAATTTCCTATCTTCTTGCATTAGTGGTTGATTAAGGTTTGTATCCCTTTGAACCATCAATTTCTTCCTAGGCTTTTTGTAGCCTGGGCTGAGCTGCTATTTATTGCCAAATTCTTTCTTCTCTCTTGATGCCTTATTTCCAATGTTCCTTCCATGACTTTCCCATTTCCCATAATCTCTCATAGTAATCATGTTAGTAATTAAAAATAAAACCGGCTCCTATAGTAAGAGTTATTAATTAAAATTCATCTGACATATATTTATTAGTTCTTCATTTCACCGATGAACCTATAATGCTTAAAGGGAAAGAAAAAAAGTGCTTTTCCAATATTGGTTTTTTAGTCAGAGAATTTGGCCCTTTTGTTGTAGTCTATCCGTTTCCATAACAGTATTACTTGCAATGAACTAGAGTATGATCTGGATTTAGCTTGAATTTTGTTCAGTGTGTTTCTGCTCACTTATTGCCTTATACTTAAAGCCCACCACAGTCAATTTATGACCTGGTTTTTTATCTACTTATCAATTCCTAAACTTATTTTCCCATGGGATAAATGTTTCATTCTAGGCATATTATCATATGACTTGCTTCTGATGTAACTTTCTCTTCTTGTAAGGCAAAACTTTTAGCAAGGAGTAAGATAGAATTGTATTAGCCCTAAATTAATCTGGGCTTATTTTCAAAGGGCATTTCTTGTTTATTATATGCAATTTTCAATATTTTCTTCTGTTTTGGTAAGTGGATCACACCTGAATGTTTATGGTACCTGAAACACTTACTTACAAGAATATCTGTTTTATTCTGATGACAGGGAAGGATAATGGGAACCAGCCTTATCTTTAGTTCCTAATTTACCACTGAGGACTATATCCAGCACGTCATTTTTGTGCATGGCTGATAAGAAATTAGCAAGCCGCCATGAATAGAGTTGATTACATTGGTCAGCCATGTGCAGCAAAAAAGCAAAATCATTCTGTCCATCTGGGATATCAAAGACACAACAGTCTTCGTGCACTTGCTTAAAAGAATATTTCTGCAGTGGTTGCCACAAAAGCCATAGGAATGAATAAACCCCCACAACTCCATACAGGAATATTAAAAAAATATAAGTAGCTATCAACTTCTGTAGAATGAAAGCCATGCTATGAGTACAGATGAATGTAGAGTAGCCAATGACGTTTTGTATGTCTGCCTGGCAAACATGCTTGAAGGAGATGGATCCTACACAGTTGAAGGTATAACCTAGCACAGTTAGAACCTTTGCCATTTTGAAGACGGTTTGTCCCAAATAGATTCTATAAATCATCCTACCACCTTCAGTGTGTGCCCTGAATCTACGGATCTTCTCAAAAAGGGCCTGGCCAAGTTCCCGATCTTTTGAATCCAGGATGGGAGAAGAGGAAGGAGACTTGAGTTGTCCTAGATACCCCACATTAACAGTATTTGTGCACGTGCCTAGGAAGCGCTGG